AATTGTCAATGTTAATGAATAATTCAATAAAACCGTGTAAATCGTATTCGAATAACCTCGAACACTGGTAGATTGGCATATGGAGTGGGGTGCGGTACGGTGCGGTGCGTTGGAGGCAATATGTATATGTGGTCTACCCCTCTCCCTCTCTTTCACTTTCTGTGTGCATAGCTGAACAAAGAAACACTTCGTTAAATGCTGAGTGTTTTCTTTTGCATGATATCCTTGTAGAGCAGGTCTTGACTCATTGAGTATGCTGTGCAAAACTCTATTTGGTAGAAGGGAGGGAGGATTTATTGCAATGCACAGTTGTTAGGCAAAAGGAGGAATAAAGGGTTATATGAAAAACAATAGAGAAAATGACGATTATATTGAATAAATAAACATGGACATCACAGCGTATACGTGTTGACACTATGTATACGCCACCATAGACAAAGAACGAACATTTGTTATTAGGAGACAAAATAAAATGTAGGTCTTTTAGGATTGCAATTATAAACGTTTTTTAGGATCGGAAACTATTTTGCAAAAACAAAATACAAATGGTATCCCAAATAAACCGCCAACACTATTGGAAATATATATTTTTTTCCTATTTCCCAATCTATCGCTCTTCAATCTTAATGTCCTTGAATTATATACTTGTAGATTATATATAGGGTAAAATATCAAATGACACATAGTAATTTTCTGTGTTCAATAAATTTGTTGCAAACAACAAAAAATCCATATTTAACCTTACAATAACCCTTTAAATGCTATTCTCTGTGTTGTTCCTTCTCACCCCGTAACCAAAATAGAATCACAAATGGATATACTATTGTAGTCGGTTAAAAGTTCGTTGTATTTTTAACGTTTATAGCAGAACACCAACCAACCTTAGCAAATATTAATGAATGCCAAAAAAAGCTTTAGATATCCTTGAAAATGTATATAAAATGAAACTTTATTTGGTTTTGTTTGACAAACGGAATATTTTAACACCATTGCTAAATTAACAGAAATGTCGTAAAATTGGCGAGTACTAAACGTTTCCTTGGTATGAGTTTTATGTTTTAGCTGAGTTGAGGTTAATATCCATAATATCATTTACAAGCGAAGTAGATTTTTATTGAAACCATTTTTCTGCTCATGATTTTTATGAGAACAACTGAATAAGAAAAAAAAACTATTTTAGGGATATTTTATTGATGGAAACAATAAAGAAACTGAGGGAATTTGAATACGTTGGGGATATTTAAAAAATTAAACGTAGCCCCCAATTTTGAAAATATAGTTTTTCAAGTACTATATCAAGTGCCGAGCAAGCAAGGACACCAAGATTGGATTTTTTCAAATAAACAAACCAGTATTTCATGTATACAGATTTTTAAAAAATTGTTTAAGGGACTACCAAGAAGTATGGATTTTCAAAGAATAGTTTTTCAAGGACCAACCGATAAATGTGAATTTTTAAGAATTATTTTTTTAAGGACCAGGGCGTGAATTAAAAAAAGAGTGGATTTTTAAAGAGTATTTTTTCAAGGATCAACTGACCAATAAGCGTGGATTTTTAAACAATATTTTTTCAAGGATCAACTGACCATTAAAACAACAACATTTTTTCAAGGATCAACTGACCAATAAGCGTGGATTTTGAAACAATATTTTTTCAAGAATCAGTTGACCAATATGCGTGGATGTTTAAAGAATATTTTTTCAAAGATCAACAGACCAATAAGCGTGGAGTATTAAAGAATATATCTTCAAGGATCAACTGACCAATAAGCGTGGATTTTTAAATAATGTTTTTTCAAGGATCAACTGACAATAAGCGTGGATTTTTAAACAATATTTTTTCAAGGATCAACTGACCAATATGCGTGAACTTTTAAACAATATTTTTTCAAGGATCAACTGACCAATAAGCGTGGATTTTTAACGAATATTTTTTCAAGGATCAACTGACCAAAAAGCGTGGTTAATAATCCACGGATATTTTTTTTCATGGATCAACTGACCAATAAGCGTGGATTTTTAAACAATATTTTTTCAAGGATCAACTGACCAATATGCGTTGACTTTTAAACCATATTTTTTCAAGGATCAACTGACCAATAAACGTGGATTTTTAAACAATATTTTTTCAAGGATCAACTGACCAATAAGCGTGGATTTTTAAACAACATTTTTTCAAGGATCAACTGACCAATAAGCGTGGATTTTTAAACAATATTTTTTCAAGGATCAACTGACCAATATGCGTGAACTTTTAAACAATATTTTTTCAAGGATCAACTGACCAATAAGCGTGGATTTTTAACGAATATTTTTTCAAGGATCAACTGACCAAAAAGCGTGGATTTTAATAATCCACGGATATTTTTTTTTCATGGATCAACTGACCAATAAGCGTGGATTTTTAAACAATATTTTTTCAAGGATCAACTGACCAATATGCGTGGACTTTTAAACAATATTTTTTCAAGGATCAACTGACCAATAAACGTGGATTTTTAAACAATATTTTTTCAAGGATCAACTGACCAATAAGCGTGGATTTTTAAATATTATTTTGCAAGGATCAACTGACCAATAAGCGTGGATTTTTAAATATTATTTTGCAAGGATCAACTGACCAATAAGCGTGGATTTTTAAACAATATTTTTTTAACGATTTAAACCATTTTTTTCAAAGACCATGCCTTGTCACAAAGTTTTATAAAAGTCAAAAATAAATTATTTTCACATCCATGTATAAAATTAAAAAAAAATCTTAGTTTATTTGCAAATCAACAGATTTCTGATTCAATGACTTTAAAATAAACCTAAAATTCATATATATTTTGCAAAACTCTCCTAAAACTATAAATTTTATTATACATATTTTTTATTCTTCCTGTAGAAAATTCTATAAAATATGAAAGGGAATGAAAGCATGTTATACAAAATGCAATCAAGCAAATTGAAAACAGTACTTAATTGCTACAAATTAATTGAATACAGAAAATAACTTATATATATAAACGAATGTGAGTGTGTGTGCGTGTAAACCATACATATTACACACAGAAGCAAATAAAGTCTTTAGTTATGCTTGTAAAAGCAAATCTGTAAATATGGCATTTGTCGATTTGTCTTGTTTTTTGCCACTAGATGCAGTTGTCTAATAATGTTTAATTTTCTTTTTTCTAAATTTGTTTTTCTTCTTCTTCATCCTGTTCTACGGAGAATAGTTCATATATTCTTTCATTGTACAGATGTTATAATACAATTTTACCATATATATATATATATATATAGAGAGTTTTCCATGTGTTCTGTCGTCCACAAAACCTATATACACTAGATAGAGTGTGTCTCTGTGTGTTTGCATTAGGCATTATTTGTTAACTAGATGTGAGTACTTGTACTTCTTTTTTTTGTGGAATATTTTTCTATGTCTTTTTGAACCGCATTGCCCAAAAAATATATATTTTTTTCCCAATGATATCACATTGTCAGTTTTAAAATGCATAGTCATTTTGCATTTTTGTTATTATTGTTATTGAGTATATATATCATGGACACATGTGTGTGTTCGTGTGTGTTTGTGTGCTTATGCATAGATTTGAACCCATAAGCCAATCAATGTCTATGTTGTTTTATTTCTAAATGGAATTTTCAATTATTGTTCACAAAATGTAGTTAGAGCCTTGTTAAGCATCTCAATGCACAATGGGTTGAAAATACATAATTTAAAATGTATATTTTTAAATTTACAACTTTATAAATTCTATTTATTGTTTCTGGATATTTTTAAAAATTTATTCATGCCTTAAAAAGAAACAAAGAATTTTTTTAAGACTTGTATCTCTTTTTTAAATAATATAGGCTCCTTTTAAAAAGAAAAATATTAACTATGTTTAAATGATACTAAAGGTCCTTACAGTAATTGTTTCCAAGTTCCTGCGCTTATCTATTTGTGTATAAACACGCTTTACGGAGCCCTTCAAATGTTTTTTTTTTCAAAAAATCTACGCCTTACGGAGTCCTTCAAATATGTGTTTTAAAAAACCCCACGGCATACGGAGTCCTTAAATATCATCGACCTACGGGGACTCTGTAGTTCGATAATATTTAATGACAAAATATTTTTTTTAAATCCACGGCTCAGGGAGTCCATCAAAATTGCAAATAAATTTCCGACTCAAATATATTTGTTTTTAATCCACGTTTTAGGGAGTCCTTCAAAAGTATTTTTAAAAAAAACATCAATGCTTAAGAAGTCTTTGAAAATTCTTTTTTTTAACAAATCAATGGTTAAAGAAATCTTTCAAAATCACCTCAAAAAACTCAATCCACTACTTAGAGAAAATAGTTTATTCCAAGTTTTATTTCTTAAATAAAATATACTCCCGGTTGAGGCCTTGAATTTATTTTACATAAATCCACATTTTAAGAGTCATTGAAAATAAAAAAAGAGTTCTTGAAATATTATTTCAAAATATCCACACCTTTTTAACAAATTTTATTTATTATTTTATTTTGATGTTTCTCATTAATTGCCCATTGTATTGGTAATTAATTTAATTCAAAAAAAGAAATATTTCAATGCAAATCAATGAAGAAGACTATTTCAGCATGTAAATTAAAAATTCAATTTAGTTTCTGTGTGTGCGGTTAGTTTGCCAACAAAATGAAAACCCAAAGTAATATCCATTTGGAGTTCATGTATTCGAATGCTATTCAATTGAACTTTAACATTCCAATAAATATTATCAAAATATGAAATAGTTATTGCCAACAAATTTTTCTAAATTAAAATTTAAAATATTTCTTGAAAAAAAAACTGGAAATTTTCAAATTAATGATTGTGGAGAGCAATAAAATGCTTTTCTAAGAGGAATTTAATATTTTTGGTTAAATAAATAAAATTCCTAAAATTTTAGATTAAATTTCAGAATTTTTTTTTATTTTTAATTTCATATTTTTATCTAAAAAATAATAATAATAATTGTTATACAATATCTACTTACATTGTGTTTCCATACAACTTTATATGCTGCTGGATTTGCATGGACTTTACACTCAAAATAGACATCATCGCCTTCTTCAATATCTTCGGGATTAAGATTTGAGCCTAAATCCAATTGTAATGTTGGCACAACTGAAACAAAAACAACAAGAACAGCCATAAGACAAATAAAATATTGTTCGAAGAATCAAAATTGATTTTCAGAGAAAATAAAAATGCAATTTGATTTATGCAGAAAATTTAATTAAAAGAAAATATACCATAGATATTGAAAATAAACTAATACTTTATGTTATTATTTAAAAATAACTCATACACACGCATATGCACATGCAAGTGTATGTGTATGTGTGCATGCTTAAAGTTTGTTTAGCTCTGGATCTTATTACTTGGCTTTGTCGAAGAAAAAAATATTCTTATTTTCTTATCGGAAAAAGATTTTGTACTTGAATGGATTTTTTGTTTTTGTTTGGACTTTGTGTGTGTTTTTTCATTTTCTCTCTCTATCTTTCCCCTTTTCATAAAATCTGTTTTCTTTCAAGGAAAAAGATACACAAATGTGTGTGTGTGCATATAAAGGGCTTACAGTGTCACATGAAAGTTTGTTTGTGTGCGGTAGAGAGAGGGGTAGTGATGTCGAAAAGGGGGGGGCGACACAAGTAAAATAACACCAAAATAGTATCATTACGGTTTGCAACGAGCTCTTCAACAAGAACCCTACAACAACAGCAGCAACGACAAAGGGTTAAGCTGTGATTATCGGGTATTAGTGTCACTTACTTTCCAGCTCAATCTTAGTGAATGTTTGTTGATGGCTAACAGACACAGACGCACATACACAACCAAACACAGACAGACAGACAGCGCAGCACCAAGGTCCCTCTTTCTTCGTTATTAATAATATCTGTGTATCTCATCATTGCTAGTTTTCTTTTGTTTTTTCTTCATTTTTTTCTTTCTCACAGATTATTTTAATTATTTGTATCTTACTTTCTTCATATTCTTTGTTTCACAATGGAATTTTGGTTTTCCTTTTCGTCTCATTTAAAAAAAAGATTTGTTGGATTTACTTAAAGACCAAAAAAAAACTAATTTGGTTTCTTGTTTTCCCGTTTGATGTTGTTGTTTTTTTTTTTTCAATAATATTTGCAATACCCTAAGCTGATTTATTTTTACTTTTCTGCAAAATACTGTTTACAGCTTGTCAGGAATTTTTGTGCAAATATTTGTTGTCGTTTCTTTACCTCGTTAAAATGACTAATAGCAGGAAAAACAACAGCAACGACGACAAACCAAAGAAATAATTACATGTATTATCACAGAAGGGACGGGTGAAGGGGGTGGGGAAAAGGAAAATTGAGCGATTGACAGTAATAACATTTTGTGGCTACTTCTTAATTTGTTTTCTACACGAAATGTTCGTTCGTTCGTTAAATGTATTAAGCAGATTTTTTTGTTTCATTTTTTCAAAAACAAGTCGATAACAATTTATCCAAGTTTTGCAAAAAATAGGAAACAAATTAGCCAACTAATGAGAAATGTTATTATTAGGAAAGATAGTTTAAAAAAAAACTGGGAAAAACAAGAATATTTGTTGGTATATTAATCTCCAATATTGATTTGTAACTGACAATGTTCACGAAATGTTCAACGAAAAGTCCACAAGAAAAATTTCGAAATCAGATATTTGGAGATACTTAAAAAAACAGTCCTGTGGTCCTATAATTAAAACGAATCGCAATCCTGTAGCCCTGCGATTTTTTTTTATTTTATCGAAAATAACAGTCCTGTGGTCTTTCGATTTTTTCTATAGAAAAAAGCATTCCTGTGGTCCCGCGAATATTTTTCTGCAGAACATAACATCAGTTGTGTGATCTTTAGAAAAAACATTCAGATGGTCTGAAATGTTCTCTATAAACATGTAAAAACATGGCTGACTGAATACTAGATTACGCGGCCTTTCGGTTGGAAAATGCGACTATAATAAAAACATTTTTGCTGTCCTGCATTCTTAAGGACCTGTAAATATATAAAAACCAGTAAGGTTAAATCTGAACCGATTTACCGAAAACTTAGCACACATCATTCTAGACTTAATTCAGTACGATATGCCAAATCGCGCAAATCAAAGGATATATAGGGACTTTGGTGCACTATTTACATTAAATCGGAAAAAATATATATGGGAGCTATATCTATATCTACACACCAAACCAAACACCAATTGAGTACGCTATGTTAAATTTCGTGCAAATCGAGGGCTATATAGGTGCACCATTTACCTTAAATCGGCCGAAACCGATTTTCACGAAACTTAGCATACATCATTCTAGACTTAAAAATTCGTGCAAATCAAATGATTTTCAGGGACTTTGGTGCATCATTCAACTAAAATCGGACGAAAATATATATGGGAGCTATATATAAATCTGAAGCGATGTTCACAAAACTTAGCACACATCATTCTAGGCTTAATTCAGTACACTTTACCAAATTTCGTGCAAATCGACACATCACTCTAGTAGTACGTTTACATTTAACCAGATTTCGTTAACCCAGTGGGTTTCAAATGTCATATCCTTTGCATATATGTCAAATAAATCCTCATAAAGTAGGTTAACCCGGTAAAAAAGTTCTAATGTACAAGGAGTTTAGGCCTATTTCAATACGCCTTGCCAAATTTTGTGCAAATGAGAGATATTTAGGGTCTTTAGTTCACCATTTACCTTAAATCGAACGAAAATATATATGGGAGCTATATCTAAATCTAAACCGATTTTCACGAAACTTAGCACACATCATACTAGGCTTAATTCAGTACACTTTACCAAATTTCGTGCAAATCGAAAAATATTTAAGGACTTCGGTGCTCCATTTACCTTAAATCGGACGAAAATATATATGGGAGCTATATCTAAATCTGAACCGATTTTTACCAATTCCAAAAGGGTTCATCCTTGGGCCAAATAAAGAAGCTTTGCAAAATTTCATCCAATTCGAATCAAAAATGCGACCTGTACTTTGTTTACAATTTAACATGGACAGACGGACGGACGGACATGCATAAATCGACTTAAAACGTGATTCTATGCATATTCTCAAAAGCAACCATGTGTTTATCTCGTTTCCTTTTGCCTGTTACAAACATATGCACTGTACCACAGTGTGGTGAAGGGTATAACAAAAGTTTCTGGGACTTGCGTTTTTATACCCTACACAACTATGTTGTCAGGGTATTATAGCTTTGTGCAGCCCCAAAAGTTTGTAACGCCGCGAAATATTGGTCCTAGACCCACCTTTAAATATACCGATCGTCATATCTCGACTAGCTGAGTCGATCTAGACATGTGTGTGTCCGTCCATCCGTCTGTCCATTATAATTTGTAAACACGATACAGGCCACAGTTATGGACCAATCTTCACGAAATTTGGCATGTAGGATGGGTTCTGGCCAATGAAGACCCCTATATATTAGAATAGAATAAGCATGCCTGTTTTCATAAAGATCGATCAATATTTAGCGGGTCAAATGGACACTGACTTTTGTGTGAAAAATTACAAAATTTTTATTCTATAGCGTATATATTTACCCCTGAAGGACATAGACCCGAAAAGTTTATATTATATCCAAGATGAGTGGTTGACCTTTAAATTAATACCAATTTTGGAATGAAGTGGACCGAAAACTTAATTTTTTGTGTTATTTTCGAGTCGATCTATTGACTACAAATGAAAGCCGAACATCACAACACAACCCACGGTGAAGGGAATCTGGACAATAACTGTACTGCATACTTGTAATATTCGGAAAATATGTCAGTGTAAGGAAGAGGTGCTGTTTACCTCTAATCGGGTAAGAGGGTGCAAATATCATGAAATATTGCCCAGGCTCGGAATATACATCCGCAGAAAATTTGAGTTCCGTGAAAGTTGTGTAGGGTATCGTATGGTCGGCCCCGTCCGACTATACTGCTCCGCTTACTGTTTTTTTTTTTAATTTTTATATTTTTAACAAATTCTTGTTCGATTCAATTTTTTTTTGTTGCTCAAATTCAAAAGTTTCCATCCAACAATCTTCCCGCTTTTCAACACCCATCACATCTTTTTGTCGCTGTTATCTTGGCAAATGTTTCTTTGTATTGTTGTAACTTCGCAATGATTTTTTCGTTATGCCATTAAACAGTAGATAACATTTTTCAATTTCCCCTTTTACACACATTTACATGAAAATAGCGTGTTTGCACAACAAGAAAAAGAAGAGGTTAAAGTTTGTTGTTGTAGATTTTTTTTCAACAATAACTTTATAAAATTGCTTTGACAAGAAAAAAAGTTGATATCATAAGAAAAATTGAAAAAAAATATATCACTTATAGATTCCATTCAGAACCGAAGAGTTTTGTTTTCGGGCAAAGGTGTCATAAAATAAGCATTGACAAAATTTCCATCTTTTTTGAGAAAGGATGTGAGATTTTAGGAAAAAAATAAGAGTGTTGCGTTTTTTTTAAGCCACTAAACTCCCTTTATGGGTGTACATAGTGAAGCGATGGCATTGAACATCTTTAAGGTGATAAAATTTCATAGATCATTGGGTTTATGGCAACACACATACACTTAGACAAAGAGGTTTGTTGCATACATATGCTAAAAACAATGCTTTTTTAAAACAAGTGGAACATAACTGGGGAAATATCCATATAAAAGATAGGAAATGGTTACTTTTATGTTCGTTGAAGTTTACCTAGTGTTCCACTTTAGAAGTAAACCATTGGAATTGTTTTACGACCATTTTGAAAACATTTAATATTCGGATATTATGCAATTCTTATTCTCGTAGTTTTTATTGCTTCAACTTCATTTTTGGAGTTCAGGATGCTTTTTATTTTGAAATGGGTTTTTTTATTTAGCAGCTATAACAACTTGTCTTTAAATGCTTTATGTTATTTACTTCCCTCTTAATATCTTTACTAATCTTTCTCATTTTCCTCTTTCAATTATGGACTTAACATAAACGCCATAAAACAGTATACAATAAAACGGCATCCTCTTAAATATTTATTTTTTTAATTTTTTTATTGCCCTTCAGTATAACGAGAAGGACATTATAATCTCCAATAATAAGGTTATGGTCTTAA